GACAGGTCCTGCTGAAAGTGTCAACTAGAGGCCAGACGGACACGGACCCTGAAGTAAAATTTTTGACTTGTAAGAAGTGACAGAACTCTTCATTTGACAACGATAATTAAAGGGGTATGAGAATCGTAAGCAAAGTATTAGCATGGCATGCAGCTCACCCAATTTCCCAAAACAAAAGAACCCTAGGAAAGAGACAGTTCTGGCTCTGGCTCTGCTCTTTTGGGTAGCACATGAGTTTATATGGGAATGAGTCATCTGACACCAGAGGTTCAATGATACCCTGACAAGGACTCTGTGCTCCCAAACACTTCAGTAGGTGATGTATATGTCTGGGAAGGAGCACAGTTTGGACAAAGACATGGACTAGGATAGTAGACAGATAGCTTCATTGAGGGATTGAATGAGAATATTACTTTACCTTATAACAAGAAAGACCCGAGGGGAAACTATGCCAGCCTTCAGGACAGGGGTCTTCAGGCTTGGGGGCTGCTTTTTCAGGCTCAGGGGGCTCAGTTATTTTCTTGCAAATTGAAAGTGCTCTGAAGCTTCTGCAGTCTTTTACCTCCCACTTTCCAAGAGACTTTCCCGTAGCCATAGCCACACACCCTCCTGGAGAAGCTGGGGTTGAAGGGAAAAGTTTAATTAAAAATAACATTAAAGGGACTTCCCTGGTGGTCCAGTTGTTAAGAATCCGCCTTCCAATGCAGGGGACACAGGTTCGATCCCTGGTCAGGGAACTGAGATCCCACATGCTGCGGGGCAACTAAGACCGCGCACTGCAACTACTGAGCACGTGAGCCACAACTAGGGAGAAACCTGCATGCCACAACTAGAGAGAACCCAGCGCACCACAACAATGATTCCGTATGCTGCAATGAAGATCCCAGGTACTGCAACTAAGACCCGACGCAGCCAAAAAAGAAAATAAATATTTTTAAAAAAACATTAAAAAATTAAAGCCCAAACATTTTCTAGTGCCTACACACTTTATTTGATTCAAAGTGGGGAGAGAGAATAGGAAAGAAAATGGAGGAAATAAATGTGTTGTTCACAATAATAATGATGACAGTAATACAGAGAAGTGTTTACTACTTGCCAGGTACTATTCTGAGAGGATTAAGTGAATTGATCCTCACATAGAGTGGATTCTATTGTCACACTGAGGTGCAGTGAGGATTGGTGATTTGTCCAAGGTCACACGTGAGAAAGTTGCTGATCCAGAATTGGAATCTAGGTGGTGTGTGTGTAGAGCTGTACCCTAAACCACTATGATGCTCAGAACAGTCTAAATCGTTCATATTCACCTAACAGCTTTCAACAGTTTTTAAGCAACTTAGTAAACCTCAAAACAACACTCTCAAGATTCAGATCAAAGGAAGAGCTGGTACAATAGAGGTAGAAGGAGGTGTGTGGTAATATACATTTGTTTACTATTTATTTTATGGCAGCCAGAATTTATTTACTCACTACAACATTAAAAGATAGTTTGTATCGTCAGATCCATTTCCAGATGAAGAATTAGTGACTTGCCCACAATCATAGTTAGTGAGTGGTGGAGTCAGAACTTGAACCCAGATTTGTCTGGCAAAATGCCATGCTCCCTTTCCCATTGCATCACACTGCTGAAAATGCTCAGAGGACAAGAAGAACATACATTGCAAAGTAATAAGGACAACTTCCATTCCATCACACAGAGAAGCCATATGGCCTCATGTCTCATTATACAAGGACAGCAAGAGGAACAAGGAACTGGGAAAAATAATGCTGTGTTACCCTGGATGGGTGTGCTATTTTCTCTTATTCTACCCCCTATCCATGGCTTGCCCAATGCAGACCAAACTGGCTGAATCTGGGAGTAATAATGGTAAAGAGGACTTAAAGGCAGTCTTTCTGGCTACAGACTGAGAGAATAGCTATTACAGCTACTTCCTAAGCACCCCTGCCCCCAACCACTGAGGCTTATCCATGAAGAATGTGACACTGACTCTAAAATGTCTGAGTGTCTATAAAAGAAATCACGTATTTTGTATTTTAGAACATTCTAATTTAAGATGAAATTTAACCAGGATTAGCATCTGCATCCTCCATCTTCTACAAGTAAAAAGATGACCTTGTTATTATCAATACCACTCATATTTATATTGATGATCACGTATTACAAATTTTGTGGGCATTCTCTATTTCAAACAGTGTGTTTAACTACACATTCACATGTTCCCATTTCTATGTTATAAAAATGGTCTTCATGATTCCATTATACAAACATAAGAAAATATAAATAATTCAAAGGAAGAAAAGTCGAATGCTGTCTCATAAAAAGCCAAAGTCCTCTAAAAAGCATTGAATTAGAAATCAGATCTGGATTTTAGCAATTCAATAACCAGGTAACCTTCGTCAAGTAAGCCACCTTTCTAAGCCTCTGTTTTCTCAACTCTAAAATCAGAAGGGCCGTCTGAGTCCTTTTCTGGCTCAAATGTTCTGATTCTATGGCTAATTATGGTCAACGCTTTAGGCTAAAGAAGGATAAACTACCTTTCAGAATAAATAATACCTATAATACATTGCCTCCTTAATTCTCACCCATTGAGAATAATAGAAATAAACACATCCAATTTTGGAGAAAGAAGTTAAGAAGCAGAGAGGTGAAAATGTAAAGTGCTCCAAAATGAAGCTTCTAGGTTCTGTTTGAGACTACATGGCAAAGATAACACTCACACTGATGCTTCTAGCTCTGTGCCATTAGATGGTGGTTTCTGAGAACTGAGTTTTCTAGCTTTTATTGGGTAACTGCCGAGGATTTCATAGGGAAGACATAGTCGCTGCTTCTATTTACGGTTCCATAGACAGACTCTAGTCCTGAAAATCATCATCTCCTTCATATTTCAAAGGTATGTGAAGAACAGATTTGGGAGGAATGCTGCCTCTCACAAGTCACTGTATTCTACTGCTTTCAAGGCTAAGGCACTCACCTGGCTCAAGAAAATTCCAGTTGGAAAAGGTTACAGCCCACTTTATTCCACCAGCACTTCCCCAACTATACTCTCCACTTGCATCTGTATCTCTCAGGCCAGTCCAGAAGTATTTTTCTGGAGACTTAGTATACTTTTTAATCATATCATTCAGGTATTCTTGCTCAAATCTACAAAATGAGAGTCAAATTAGTAGGTGTTTTTTTACAGTGACTGAAATACCATATAAATTGAAGATGCACTTTTTTTTTAGGAAGATTATTTAGCAAAGGAACCCAGAGTTAAAAGTTCACACCTGCTAGTTACAGTCAGATTGCAGTTGGTTCCAAAGGGGACCTCATCCTTGTAAATCTTGTAACAGGCTTCTCCATGTCTCTTCCAGCCCTAAATCAGAGGAAAAATATCACACTGTCTTCTGCACTTGATAACAAGCAAGTTTCTGTTACATAAGTAACATCTTACAACTAAGGGAAATTAAGGACATGGACAGGGAATTTAAACACATGATGAGAGTGGGATACAATTTCATAGAAAACCTCCATAAGCCTGTGTCAGACAGAAGGAACGTCTTAACTTTCTTTACCCCTAATGCCTAGGTCATCATAGGGTATAACAGTTGTTAGTTCAATTATTTTTGAATAAGAATAATACGAGTAAGAGAAGTAAAAAATCAGCATTGAGGATATAATCATATACATTTTTATAGAAATTCATGAATAGAGAATTATTTTTCCTATAACACTTTCTTCTTCTGTAAGAGTGACGATATCTATGATTCACCACCTTCTGGCTTGCTCTAATGTATAAATGAACAGAACCTAGTATTTTCTTCTATTTTCCAAGTCTGAAGTATTTAAGTCTCAACTACCATATCTAACCAAGAAGGTATAATATTGTTTAGAAAAATTTCCACAGGGGTTTTACATACCTCATCTGGAGGACACATCTTATCAGATCTTGTATCATTCAATTTTTCTCCCTTTTTCTTACATACATATTTAAGTTTCTCTTCACATGATTGGACCTTCCACTGACCTAGCTTTTAAAAAACAGAAAATAATTTTTCCCACAAGAGAAATTATTTGCCACATATTTAGAATTGAACTCTTATCTTAAATCAAGATATCGGGGAGGGAGAGGGGAAGGAGGGGAAGGAGGGGGAGAAAAGGAATATAAATGAAAGATTAAATCTGAGAGCATACTCCTAGAAAATGCTACCCAACAAACCTGGAAGCCTGTTACTTCAGCATCACCTCAAGGTCACAGTGGGGATGAATTTCGTTTTCTTATAAGTGTGACAATAAAACCACCAAAGGACACTATACAGAAGTTGAAGAGAGAAGAACCCAGCCCAGAGAGTTGCCAGAGTTCTAGTCTTCTTCCATATGACACAGCCAGTTTGTCCACAGGTTAAAAAACTTTGGGGCAACAATAGCCAGGACATGGAAGCAACCTAAGTGTCCATCGACAGATGAATGGATAAAGAAGATGTGGGACATATATACAATGGAATATCACTCAGTCATGAAAAGAAACGAAATTGAGTTATTTGTAGTGGGGTGGACGGACCTAGAGATTGTCATACAGAGTGAAGTAAGTCAGAAGGAGAAAAACAAATACCGTATGCTAACATATATTGGAATCTAAAAAAAAAAAAAAAGGTTCTGAAGAACCTAGGGGCAGGACAGGAATAAAGATGCAGATGTAGAGAATGGACTTGAGGACACAGGGAGAGGGAGGGGTAAGCTGGGATGAAGTGAGAGAGTGGCATGGACATATATACACTACCAAATGTAAAATAGATAGCTAGTGGGAAGCAGCTGCCTAGCACAGGGAGATCAGCTCAGTGCTTTGTGACCACCTAGAGGGGTGGGACAGGGAGGGTGGGAGGGAGGGAAGAGATATGCGAACATATGTACATGTATAACTGATTCACTTTGTTATAAAGCAGAAACTAACACACCATTGTAAAGCAATTATACTCCAATAAAGGTGTTAAAAAAACAAACAAACAAGCCAACCTTTGGGGCAGGTCACCTAATCTCCCTGTCTGAGTTTCCTCATATGTAAGATGATGATGGTGATTAGAATAGCTACTCCCTAAGAATTTTAGAATCAAAAGATTCTGCCAAGTCTACTTCAGTCTAGACGTCAAAGTTCTATCTTTTCAAATATGCTACTGAACACTGATTTTGCTTAAGTCACTCTGCTTTCTTTGAATTAAATTTTAGTAAGTCAATTGTGATACGGGTCAGTTTTGAACGTTGGAAGCTGTCTAGATAAGCCATCAGTTCACTCTGGCCTATGGGACCTCATTTCTATCCTTGATACTCTTTTAAAGATATCCTGTGTATCCTTTTAAATAGAGCATTAAATGTGACACCCTTCTAAATTCAGCTTTACACCTTTCTAAAAACATCTTTACTATTGAAACACTTCTAAATAGCCCTTCCATTTATTGCTTCCACTTAAGTCTCTCTAGAAGTTTGAATGACACAACTGGCCTCCCAAACAATTAGGAGTCCACAGGAAAGTGCTACAAACAAAAATATAGAGATACATATGTCCTTTCGGCTCAACAGTTTATTTTGGACTCTTCTGAAAGTCCAAAGCATGCTTTATTGAGCATGCTTACTGAAGCATGCTCAGTAAACATTTATGCATTCTATAGGAGTAAGATATTCTCTGAACAAAGTCAGACCTAATTTTTTAACAAAACTAGTTTTTCAGTTCTCAAAGTTGGCTTACTTTGATCTGAACATGAGAAGATGCGATTTTCCAGGTTAAATTGTGGCTACCTGCTAAATATCACACTGGTGGTACTGAGAGAAAGCAGCTTATCAGAAGCAATCTGGCACAAGGATCTGAGCTCTAAAGGGATTCTCTTGATCTGTTTCACACCAGAGAAGATACTCTCAGATGGGAATTGGATTGCTTCTTTAGTAATTGCTTTATTTACCTTTTTTTCAGCAGCTACTGGAAAGACAGTCTACAGTGCTATTACCTTTTATTTTCTTTCCCAGCTTAAACACAAATATCCCAACCAAAATCATCTTATTATTATTATTAGATTTTCAGGTGTAACAATAAGGATATAAATAAAACTGAGGAGGTTTCCTACCTTTCCTAAATAGGAAACACAGTTGGGAGTCTTATTGTAGGGAACATGTGGCTCATTCTCATCCCAATAAGTCAGAGTAACTTCAGTACCATCTGACCACTGAAATAGAGTTGGTGTATTTATGTTCCTAAGGCCTGTCCATATTTCTTCTTTGGCATCTAAAAGAAAAATGTTTTATTTGTTTTGTTACTCAATTACATACTTCAATATGTACACTGCTACTGAGTTTTACATTCTGATATGGGGTGTTAGGAGCCTTGACGGTATTTTTTTTCTTTTAAAATTTTAATTCAGTAAACGGTATTCTTAATTAACCTGTAAAAGTATTGATAAGTTAGGCAGGCCCGATGATGAGGGCTTTTCAGGTCACTTATACAGGTAGGGTACACAGGTGGAACAGCTGTACTATGACCTGTAGGCTGGATGTTCCTGATACCTGGTTTAGATAAACCTTGCTTTATGAGAAATAATGAAACTCTACAAATACAGTCATAGATATTGCAATTAGAATAAGGATATTGTCCATCACGGCCATGGAAATGACTATACTGCCTTCCCAGGTAAAACAACTGGCACTATGCTGGCACAGAATAGGTATCTAGTACTTACTATTACTATGGGTGAATCCTAGGAGGAGGTCTTAATAATCCTTAAGCCTCCTTAATCCTAGGAGGAGGCTCTCTAGTGTTTCGTTCTTCATTTTTCAGCTTTCAAATAATTATAAAAGTGAAACAATCATCACTTAAGTGTTGGGAGTAATTTAAATAGCATTTAGCTTATGAGAAGAGGGAAATTATTCAATCAACGGTTGTACTGTCAGGTTGGTAGTTGCTAGCTACATGCAGCTATTTAAAATTGTAAATCAATTAAAATGAAATGAAAGTAAAAATTCAGTTCTCCAGTCGCCCTAGCTACATTTCAAGGGCTCAAAAGCCACAAGTGGCTGGTGGCTACTGAATTGGACAGCACAGATTACAGAATGGTTCCATCACTGCAGAAAATTCTATTAGACAATGCTGATGTACAGGATCAAACTATAAGCTTTTCATTCTTGCTAAGAATCTGAAAACAGGGATACTTTAAAATGTTTTAAACCTCTCAAAGAGGATATCTTAAAAACTTACCCCCATTATGGAGTTTTGTGACAATCAGCTCCACATCTGCTAAAGAATGAATGCTGATGAGGTCACTGCTGAAGGTTTTGCATTTCATATGTGCCTTATCCCAGGAATCACTTTCATTTACCAGCAGATAGCAAAATCCATTATTTGGCAGCCAGTCTGCTGCATCACAGCGGGTATCTGAGTATGTCCAAACATCTGGAGGAAAAGAAGCTATTTATATTCCAGTCAAGACACATCTATTTTGAATCAATATTTAAATTCTTGAATATTGAATTGCAAATTCTTCTTTCTTGAATCATAAGGCTTCTGGAAAACTGGAGAATGTGATGTCAGATGGTACAGTGACATGAATTTTTGTGGTGCCTAATGTATACATAACATCATAAGAGTGACTGCAGGGATTCAGATAATAATGTGACTTTAAAGTGATACAAATGTGCTATATGGCTGGCCACAGACTATTTAAAGAGGGATTGCCCTTAGTCCTAGCAGACAGAAGAAAAGTGTGGGGTAAGCCAGTTGTTGACAAATCTCTTCCTGGGTATGGGATTTGTGAGGTTCCCCTCACAAAAAAGTCCCTGACTTTGAGAGATTATGAAGTTGAGCCTCCTTTTCAAGTATGGTCAGCTTAGCAAGGGAATGTGCATTAATGCTCACTGTTGAACAGAGAACAGAGGCAGAGATTTAAGGAACATAATAAAACATTTATTCACTTCACACCCAAGAAATGGCATCACTGGAGGAAAAGGGCATCTCTGGACCTCTTCTTTCCTCCCCTCTGCTAGTCCTACAGTCCACGGAAGGAGGAACTCTTTGTTTTGACTATAATAAAACTCACTCAAGTGATGGTCAAGAAAGATTAGAGAAAAAGAGCAAGGTATAAACCATACAAAATACTTCCACCTACCCCTCTTAAAAGAACTAGAAAACAGTTTGGTTTTTCAGCCTTTCATGGATTCGGACCACTTGGAATGTTTGTTATAAGAAAACATAGCATCTTAAAAATGTGGACAGTTTGATTTTTACTAAATGATAAAATTCAGGTTCAGCTTCTCACACTTGCAAACTAACTCAATTAGCTTTAAGGTTCTGAAATAGCACTTATTATTATGATATTTTACAATTATAATAAAAGAACAGAGGGAAAAACACCCATAATTGAACTTGAAATAATTATTTTCATATTCTAGTCTTTGCCTCTATGAATACATATTTTTACAAGATTAAAATGATAGGTAGGCATATGATTTTGTTCTGCTTTTTTTTTTTTTTTTTTTTTTTT